CGAAAATATGAAGATAGAGTCTTTAGGGCAGAGGGTTTCGGTGAGTGTGAGCTGAACCCCAGTGTTTGTCAGATGTGAATTAAACCCCGAAACTAAAGCATGAAATACATTTTTATTTAAAAATTAAAAAAAAGGCCGGGCGTGGTGACGCAGGCCTGTAATCCCAGCACTCGGGAGGCTGAGGCAGGAGGATCGCTGTGAGTTCGAGACCAGCCTGGGCTACATAGTGAGTTCCAGGTCAGTCTCAACTACATAGTGAGACCCAATTGAAAAAAAAAAAACCCAATAGTAAACCCATTCAGATAATAGCACCGTTTGAGTTATCTCTTAAGGATATCTACCACCTTTTTTTTGCTGGTTAAAAAAAAAATTCCCTTGGGGAAATTTCGATCGACTTCCTGTGCTTATTCAACCTAGAGCACTTTACTCAAAATATTTCTTAGGGTTTTCCTAGTAACTTGCTGCTCTTCCTGTAAAGACAAAACCAGGAAAATTTTCAGAAAAAAAAAAAAAAACCCGGGTGACTTCCTAATTACTGTGAGTAATGAGAAAAACTTTAGAAACTGTATTGGGATTGAGTTAAGAATTAAAAAAAAAAAAAAGAAAAAGAAAAGAAAAACCCCCAAAACGAAGAAACCCTTAAATACACCTGTATTTTAAAACTGTCCTTGAGAAAATGGAGGTATAAAAAGCTTAGGAATCTCTAATGACTAAACTAGCTGGCTTATTGACTTGAAAGAGAAAACAGTGGGGCATGGAGATGCACACCTGTAACCCCAGCCCTCAAAAGGCTGAGGCAGGAGGATCCCGGAAAGTTTGAGGCCAGCCTGGGCTACAGAGCAAGTTCAAGCTCTACCTGAACTACATAGCAAGACTCTGTCTCAAAAATACCACAAATAAAAACAAGCCAACAAACATGTAACCTAGGAAAAACAATAGATTACAAGATATTAGAAATGTTATCAAGTGCTATATTTTAAAGGTAGAGAATTGATCTAATGGCAATTATAAATTTAGAGATTTCATTTAAGGTGGGAATTTAATAGTGATCATTGTAGTTTGTATAAAGACTTGCACTTTAAAATATTTCATTTATATTATGTTCCTTCGGCTTTAGGAATTGGTGGAACACATCTGCTTTTCTCCTCCTTTTATAGTATTGGGATATATTACCCTGAAATATGCCACTTTAACCTCAGGATTCCTGTCAGCTTAAGGAAACTATGACTCAATACAGGCAGGAAGAACCTTTCCCATGTCTTCCCTTATATGACTAAAAGCACAATCTTCTGTGAAATGGGTTTACCCTAAATTCTATCTTTGGGTTATGTCTACTCATAAATGCCCTCCCTGGGGGAGTTTTAATGCCCTCAAGAAGAAAGTCCTCAGCTAGGTGTGGTGGCAAACACCTGTAATCCTAGCACTCTGGAGGCTGAGTCAGGAGGGTTGCTGCAAGCTTGAGTCCAGCTTGGGTGATCAGCCTGAACTACACAATGATGCTGTCTCAGAAAACAAAAAGAAGAAATACCTCTCATACCCATACAGATAAAAAATTCCTTCCTTCCTTCCTTCCTTCCTTCCTTTTCTTTCTCTCTGAGACAGGGTCTCACTATGTAGTTGAGACTGACCTGGAACTCACTATGTAGCCCAGATTGGTCTTGAACTCACAGCGACCCTCCTGCCTCAGCCTCCCGAGTGCTAGGATCACAGGCATGTGCCGCCATGCCTGGTATCACAAGACTTCTTATCTCTTGTTCTTGTGAAAAGATATTTTTTTTTTTTTTTTTTTTTTTAAGCAAGGTCTGACTTTGTAATTCAGGCTGGCCCTGCACTCACTATGTAACCTAGGCTGGCCTGGGAACTCCTCAGAATCCTTCTGCCACAGCTTCCTGTGCTGGGATCACAGGCGTGCCCCACCATGCCCAGCCCACTTGTCTTTTGCTGAAGAAACCCATGTATTTCTTCCATAGCAGCCTTTCTTCCTTTTCCTCTACTAAATTAGGCACAGAGCTTCTGATTCTTTTTTTGTTTTGGTTGGTTTTGGTACTGGATATCGAATTTCAGACCTTGTGCTTGCGAGGCAGACAGAGGGACCACTGAGTTTAAGCCCTGGCCTCTCCTGATTTTGTTTTTATAATAAATTTTATTGGGCTAGGGATTTTAGCTCAGTGGTTTCACCTCCTGCCTTGAAAGCACAAGGAACAGAGTTCAATCTCTGGTACCCTCAAATATATATATATATATATGTATATAATTTTACTTTATCCCTTTCCCCCCATGCCCCCTCCCCTCCCCATTTACAAAACATTTATTTGCATTTTTTCTATTTTCAATGTTTTCTTGTCCCTTCCTTTCTCCCTCCCTCCTCCCTTGTTCCCCTTCCCATTGGAACACTTTCTTCCCATTTCCTAACATCCATTATACATTTCAGTCTTTATTTTCACTATGATTTTCTCACACTAGAGAAACAAAGTGATATTTAAACATATTTATCCAATTTATTTCACCTAAGAGTCTGGTCTCAAGGTCCACCCATTTAGCTATAAATGTCTGAAGCTCATCTTTATGGCAGAGTAGTACTCTATAGTACAAAGTACTTTATTGTAGTACTGTATTGTATCTTTATGCACTCATTTGTTGATAGGCATGTGGGCTGTTTTTAAGATTTAGCTATTATAAACTGTGCTGCTATAAACAGGGGTGTTCATATACTGCTGTGGTATGATGGTTTTAATTCTTTTAGAAAGATACCAAGAAGAGGTATAGCTGTGTCAAATGGAACCTCTAGCTTTAGTTTGAGGAATTTCCGCAATGATTTCCACAGTGGTTGTACCAGTCTGTACTCCACCAGCAGTGGAGAAGGGTTCCTTTATTCCCCACAGCCCCTCCAGCATTTTTCCCCCCAGCATTTGTTATTTCTTGATAGCACCTATTCTTTTTGGAGTGAGATGGAATCTCAGCTTTTTTTTTTTTTTTTTTTTTTTGGTACTGGGGCATCGAACTCGGGTCCTTGCCCTTTCGAGGCAGGCCACTGAACCACTGAGCTAAATCCCTGGCCCTCAGCATTGTTTTAATTTGCATCTTTCAAATGATGAGTGATGTTGAACTAGTTTGGGGGGGTGCTGGGATCAAACTTGGTTCCCTGCGCTTACAAGGCAGGTGGTGGGACCACTGAGCTAAATCCCTGGTCCGATGTTGAACCATTTAAATATATTTATTTGCCACTTCTAATTCTTCATCTGAGAAGTGTGTTTTTATTTCAGATGCCCATTTTTCATAGGGTCTTTAAATTTGGGGGTTCTGATTTTTTTAGGTCTTTATATATTCTAGATAATAGTCCTTTAGCTGATTAGCTGGTAAAAAAAATTTTTTTTTTCCCACTCTGGGTTTCCTTTTCACTCTCTGGTTTCTCTTGCTGTGCAAAAGTTTTTTTTAATAAGGTGAGGTCCCAGTTGTTGATTTTTTGTAGTATTTCCCAAGTGGTCTGGTTTTTTTCCATGAAGCCTTTGCCCATTTCTATGTCCTCAAGAATTCTACCTATTCTCTCTTCCAGCAGAGTTAGTGTTTCTGTTTTAATATTTAGATCTTCGATCCATTTTGATTTTAGGTTAGTGCATGGTGAAAGATATGGGTCTAGTTTCAATCTTCCGCATATGGAATGACAGTTTTTCCAGCACCATTTATTAAAGAGGCTGTCTTTCTTCCAGTGAGGGTGTCTGGCTCCTTTGTCAAAGATCAGATGACTGAGTATATCTGGAGTTGTTTCTGCAATCTCTAGTGTCTTCCACTGAACCTCAGGTCTGGTTTTTTTTTGTTTGTTTGTTTGCCAGGGATCGAACTCAGGAACCTGAGCTTGTGAAGCAGGTGGTGGAACTACTGAGCTAAACCTCAGCCCTCAGGTCTGTTATTTTGCCACTACCATGCTGTTTTGTTTGTTTGTTTTGTTTTTTGTTTTTTTGAGACAGGGTCTCTCTGTGTAGTTGAGATTGACCTGGAACTCACTATGTAGCCCAGGCTGGTCTCGAACTCACAGCACTCACAGCGATCCTCCTGCCTCAGCCTCCTAAATGCTGGGATTACAGGCGTGCACCACAACGCCTGGCAAAGGATTTATCAGGAAGTGTTTTATTGTTTTGTTTTGTTTTTTTTTTCCTGGTCCATGCTGTTTTTATCATTGTAACTTTGTAGTATAATTTAAAGTCAGGGATTATGTTAAATCCAAGATTTGTCTTTATTACCCAGAATTGCCTTTGCTATTATAGGTCTTTTCTGGCTCCAAATGAATTTTAGGATTGTTTTTTCTAATTGTGTGAGATGTGTTGTTGTGATTTTTTGTTGTTGTTTTTGTTTTGGTTTTGGTATCAGGGATCAAACTTGGAACCTTGTGATCGAAAGGTAGGTGGTGGTGGAACCGCTGAGCTAAATCCCCAGCCCTGCTGCTGGGATTTTGATTGGGGTTGCATTGAATCTGTATAACAATTTTGGAAGTATGGCCATTTTCACTATATTGGTTCTTCCTATCCAAGAACAAGGGATGTCTTTCCATTTTCTGATAATCTTTTCAATCTCCTTTTTCAGAGTACTATAGTTTTCAACATAGAGGCCTTTCCTTCCTATATTAGATTGATTCCTAGGTATTTCATTTTTGGGATGCTATTGTGAAAGGGGTTATTTCTCCCTGTGAGTCTGTTTTTTGTGTACAGAATGGCTATTGACTTTTTTTTTTTGTACTGGGGATTGAACTCAGGACCTTGCACTTGCGAGGCAGGTGTGGCGCCACCTGCCTTGTGTGGCATCTCCGTCCTTTCCTTTTTCCTATTACCCACAGTATTTCTGTGTTCCTGGACTCCCGTTAATAATACCTTCTTTCCATTTTAAACTGCAGCGGAGTAACCAGCTTGTTCAGACGGCTACAGAAAATGAAGTCCTGCTTCAGCAAGGCGGATGACTCCGGTGTGGATGCTGTGGCCAGGAGGCGATCAGCCTGCCTCGCCCTTGTGTTGCTGTTGTGCCTGTGGTCACTTCTGTCACTGTGAAGGGTGGTGACGGCCAAGTCAGTCAGACAAGCAACTCATCCAGCGAGTAAGCGAGTCAGGTTTCCATATGAAGTCAAAGTGTTTTCCCCATACCATTGTGAGAAACTGGAGGAGCCGGGTGCAGTGATGCATATCTGTAATTGTCACATGAGGGAGGCTGAGGCAGGAGGATCATGCTGAGCTGGAGGCCAACTCAGGTTCCACAGTGGGTTCAGGGCTGAACTATATAGCGGTACCCTGTCTCAAAACAAGCAAACAGAAAAGAAACTCGATACTATTTGCACTGTGGCAGCCTGTCGTTGCACCTGCTTGTCCATACTGGTACATAAAGCAGATATTTCCAAGGTTGCCTGTTCTCCAGAAATGACCTTTCTTCAAGCTTTGATCATTTGACGGCTGACAGGGATTTCTTAGAGCTTCAATTTGTGTTTGTTTACTTGCAGTTAGCATGAGCCTTTTCCAAGTTAACTAACATTTCTCCTCCAAGGCTTTACCCACTGATTTATTTACATTCTTACATAAATTGTTTAAAAATTAACTGAATCTGTTGCCTGGGCTGAAAATATTTTGCTAGTTTGCCTTTAATTGTATGTTGCTCTGATATATAAACATTTTCATTTTTAGTAGTTTTTTTCGCTTCTATGGTTTCTTTGTTTTGTTTTTGTTTTTGTCTTTCTGTACCAGGGATCAAACTCAGGTGCTTGTGAGGCAGGCAGCAGCACCACTAAGCCAAATCCCCGGCTCTTTCTTTGTTTTTAAGACTGTTTCTCATATTGGTAATTCAGTTACAGATTCTCCTATAATAATTTCTTCTAGATATTGCTTTTATATTTGTTTAACCTTTTTGTTTTTTCTAGTACTTGGAATTGACCCCAGGGAGTGCTGAGCTGCTTTCTTAGCCCTTTATTTATATTCATTTTGGGACAGGATCTCACTAAATTGTCCAGGCTGACCTCAAACTCTGATCCTCCTACCTGAGCCTCCCAGTAGCTGAGATAACCCTAGCCTTTGCTTAACTTTTTTCTTTTTGAGACAAGGTTTCACCATGTAATTCAGGCTGACCTTTTTTTTTTTTTTTTTTTGGTAGCAGGGGTCAAACTCAGGACCTTGCACTTGCAAGGCAGGCGCAGCACCACTGAGCAAAATCTTGGGCCCCATGCTGGCCTTGAATTCACAGTGATCCTCCTACCTCAGCCTCCTGCATGGTGGGATTACTGGTGTGTGCCACCATGGCCAGCTTGCATAACTTTTTTTTTTTTTTTTTTTGGTTTTTTGAGACAGGGTCTCACTATGTAGTCGAGACTGACCTGGAACTCACTGTGTAGCCCAGGCTGGTCTCAAACTCACAGTGATCCTCCTGCCTCAGCCTCCAGAGTGCTGGGATTACAGGCGTGTGCCACCATGCCCAGCCTCATAACTTTTTAATGAACTAACTTTATTTCAGGGTGAGTGATGAGAAAGCAGTTTCTCATCTTCCTTTCCTAGCCCTTTCTCTTCTCTTAATCAGGATTTCTAATTTCTTAGCTTTAAAATGTCTCCATATTGTGCTAAAGATAAAGTTGTACTACATAGGGGTTATTTTCAGAGGGCAGTTATACTTCTTGAAGAGCTGACAGGCAGTGGGCATAGTCACACACTCTGGTAATCTCAGCACTTGGGAGGCTGAAGCAGGATGATTTCTGTGACTTTGAGACCAGCATGGGCAACATAGTGAGTTAAAAGCCAGGTGGACCAGGGATTTAGCTCAGTGGTGCTGTTGTCTTACAAGCACAAGGTCCTGAGTTCGATCCCCAGTACCACAAAAAAACAGACAAAACTAACAGCTCTGGTCAGCTCTTTGCCACCTCTGGGCCTCAAGTCTTCTGGAAAATGAGTCTTGGAATAGATCTTTTTTTCCACCAAGTAGTCTAAAGAGCACAAGCTTGGAAGAGATAGATGAAAAAAGATTTCTGTGGTCAAATTTCGGAAATTCTGAGTTACACTGAGCGTGAAAGAGATTTCTATTTCATTTCATTCATTTATTTATTTAATGTTGCTTGTTGCAAGGTATTTGTGGACTTCCTCCTAAGGCCGTATCACTAGAGGTTGAACCCTAGGAGATTCCTCCAGTTAAAGGTGGCAGTTGCATAGAACATGTATGATGTGGGGCATGAGGGATGCAGGACGGTGACATAGGACTCAAGAGGCCTGTTCAGTGCTGGTGGCCTCTGTATAATAGAAGATGCTATAGTATGGACCTGACCCAGGCCTTAAAAAGCTTAGTTCCCCCCCACCAGAAAAAAGCTTAGTCCCCAGTTTGGCCTCAGTGGGAGGTGATGGAACCTTTAAGAGGCGGGGCCTGGCGGGAGGTCACGGATCACGAGGGCGGGGCATTCCCTCCAAAGGGATTGTGGGACTAGGTCTCTTCCTCTTTATTTGCGTTGCAGTTCTGAGCTGGGGCCTGAGCTGGCGGCTTTGCTGTGCACTCCAGACGTGGATGTGCTGCTTCGTCCTAGGCCCAGAGACAACGAGGTCAACCAGCCAGGGACTGAAATCTCCAAAACGGTAAGCCAGAGCGGGCGCAGGGATACACTCCTGGACTGTCAGCATTCGGGAGGCTGAGGCAGGAGGATCCCTTAAAGTTCGAGGCCAGCCTGAGCTACACAGTGAGACCCTGTCTGGAAAAAGACAACACAACAAAACAAAACAAAACACCCGCTGAATGGATGGCTGTTACAGCCCTGCATCTTGCTCTCAGATTGTAGGAAATGAAAGGTATTTTAGGGTCTGAATAGGGACAGAGGTGGTGACCGGGATGGCATGAGGGGAACTTCGGGCTTTCATTTTAGGGCAGGGCCTGACTTGCTTTGATCCTATTTGAGAAAGGCTTCTTAGCATTTGCCAAGGAGGCCGTCCTCGGGCAGGGGAGCCATGATTTAAAGTCGCTGAGTTGGCCTCTGTGTCACCTCGTGCTGTGGGGAGCTGGGTGGGGTCACCTGGGTTGGGCTAGACTTGGCTCCTGATGGCCACTGTCAGTTACCTGATGACAAGGCAGGTCCGGGGCTGTCACGGAGTGCTTACCTGTGATTTCTGTAACTGTTCTTAGTGAGGTACATAATAGTGGATCCTAAAACTAGAAAGTTCTCACCCATCTCCTCCTTTCTTTCTTTCCTTTTTTTGAGACAGGGTCTCACTATGTCGTTAAGGCCGGCTTGGAACTCACAGTGATCCTCCTGCCTCAGCCTCCTGGGTGCTGTGCTTTCGAAGACTGTGTGCAAGGGGGTGGTTAGGATCTGTGGATTCTCCAGGTCACTCACTCCCAGCCCTGGAACTGGATGATCTAATAGAATTTATACATTACAGTTTCCTGCAGTGACTTGCCGAGCTTGCTCTAAAGGGATTACACACAGTTCCCTAAGTGTATACTTTTAGAAGAACATAATGCAATTTGCTTTCTAGCCCAGAGCCCTCAAAATAATTACATAGAAGTTCAGACAAGTGTTAAAAGGCAGTTGTTTCTGGTGAATCCAAATGCCTTAAAAAAATCAATTTTATTTCTCAGCTGAGGCGGGCTCACAATGTAGATTTCATGTGGTTTATTGAATAGTGACGTGCAAGGGCTGCTCTAGCATAACAAGTCAGCAAGGAGAAAATTCAGTGCTGCATTCCAAAGTCAAATGGAGCAGAACAAGAGGAAGGAGCGAGGAGTGGGGACCATCACGGCCTCAAACATGCAAGGTCATGAGTTCGATCACTGGTACAGCAAAAAAAAAAAAAAAAAAAAAAAAAAAATCCTCATTCAAATATGTGCTCATTGTAAAAACTCCATCCTCACAGAAGATGCAACTCTAAAGGTACAAATACCTTATAACCTCACCTTGCCCTATAGCTCACCATAACCAGTGAAATCTGGTTAATTTTTCCAAGTTTCTACCTCCAGGTGTGGATATATACATATTTTTTTCTGTTTGTTTGAGACAGTCTCTCTGTGTAATCCAGGCTGGCCTTGAACTCACTATGATGCACAGGCTGGCCTCGAACTCAATGTGCTCCTCCTGCCTCAGCCTCCCAGATATTTTTGAAGTAAATTACATCAGAGTATATATTCTGTCTTATGACTCTTGTCCTTGGATATTAAGAGTGATATCCAAAATGCCAGGCAAAAATTTCCAATATTAAATCAGAATAATTCAAAAGAGTTCTATTTGTGATGCAAAGAATTCCTGAGAATACATCTTTCCAGGTTTGATAAATTTGAAATCCACCAATATGTGGCCACATGCCAGTATGTTTATTTCTCTGAAATTCATCCAAAAGGACTATTCTCACACAGTATGCATTTAGCTGTATGCTTTCTGCCTAACATTAGTGAAGAAAACAAGTATCTCTCTGACCAGCCTACATCTTATTAGCTGTAAATTTCATTATTTCAGATGCAGTCAGTATTCTTCCGGTAGGCAGTGCTCCTAACATATCACCCAAACCACATTAATACAGAAGCCCTGTGTGATTTAGCAGCCTTTGCCCTGTGTAGCTATTATTCAGATTTCTTTACCCAAACACTACACTCTGAACTGGGCATTATCACCAAGGGCAGGAAAAAAATGTCACTTTTTAAAAAAAGGCAGGCCAGGCATGGTCGTGCATACCTATAATGCCAGAACTGAGGAGGCTGAGGCAGGAGAATTGCCATAATTTTAAGGCCAGCCTGGGCTACACAGTGAGTTCCAGGGCTGTCTGAACTACATAGTGAGACCCTGTCTCCAAAACAAAAACAAGAAACAAACATAAAAAGTATGTCCTATGAAGAGGCCAGGAAAGCAAAACACATGTGCTGTCAGTGTAAGAGATACATGTGTATGGAACATGCTGTTGTCACGTGTGAAGACTGCCTTAGGTGTGATAATAGAAGTAAAGGTTTTTTTTCTTTTGAGACAGGGTCTTCTTTTGTAACAAAACAAAACAAAACAAACAAACAAAAAATGTATATATCCACACCAGGAGGTAGAAACTTGGAAAAATTAACCACCGGATTTCGCTGGTTATGGCGAGCTACTGGGCAGGGAGAGGTTACAAGGTACTTGTATCTTTAGAGTTGCATCTTCTGTGAGGATGGAGTTTTTTTTTTTTTTTTTTTTTTCCTTTTTTTTTTTTTTTTTTTTTTTTTTTTTTGCTGTACCAGTGATCAAACTTACGACCTTGCACTTGCAAGGTAGGTACTGCGCCACTGAGCTAAATCCCTGGCCCAAAGATTGCAATTTTTCAATTTTGCATTGTGAGCCTCAGCTGTGTGTTAAAAATAAAGAAATTAAAGGCTGGGCATTTAGCTCAGTGGTACTGCTGCCTGCCTCGAAAACACAAGGTCCCTCAGTTTGATCCTCAATACAAAAAAAAAAAAAAAAAAAAAAAAGAAAGAAAGAAAGAAAAAGAAATTAAAAATATTGAGGGCTGAAGGCCAGGCACCATGGTACATGCCTGTAATCTCAGCACTCAGGCCGAGGCAGGAGAATTGCTGCATGTTCAAGGTCAGCCTGGGGAAAAGCAAAAGAAGGTAAAAGGTTATGTTTAGATTTATAAACTGTGGCTGTTGGTTAGTATAGGAAAAGACTGATGGAAGATTCTGTGTTCTCAGAGTGGCCTTTTCTGAATCCTTGGCATTTGTCACCCCCACCCCACCGCCTTCTGAAACCATTTGTAGTGAAACTCAGTTTTGGTTTGCTTTTTATTTCCCAAAGCCTTACAGACCAATACTTTAATAAATATTAATCAGTGAAAATGGATTACTGGTAAAATGAAATTTAAAATGACAAAGACAAAATTCAAGGACAGCCAATGCTATGTTTGTATGTATGAATTTATTTATTTGAGACAGGGTCTTGCTATGTAGTTCAAGCTGGTGCTGAACTCATTGTGTACCCTTGTAGCCCGTGCTGGCCTCAGAACTGTGGTGATCCTTGTCTCAGCCTCCTGAATGCTGGGCTGGCAGGTGTGAGACACCACACCTGGCTTACATCTGCCAGTGCTTTTAAACAGTGGTTCTCCCCAACACTGGGGAGGCTGAAGCAGGAGAATCGCTGCAAATTCAAGGCCATCTTGAGATACACAGGCAAGTCCTGTCTCAAATAACAAAAATAACAAAAACAAAATAGCCCTGGCCCCAGAGACCCTACATGCTCCTCTCAGTTTTGTCCTCATCTCTGGCAGATTGGCAGTAGTTTCGGATCTGGGTCCAGAGACTGCACTGGGGAAGCCCTGCCACCTGCCTCGAACTCTTACCTGGTAAGATTGCCAGGCAATGCACAACTTGGCTCCGCTTTCCCTTCCTAGGCTTGTTCAGAGACAGGGTCCTGGGAGACGCTCCGCAGTGGAATCACAGGAAACCCAAATGGCATCCCAGGATTCTCTGCGATTGAGCTGGGCCTGCTTTCCTGCGGGTGCTGCCTGGTGGGGGCTGGGAAAGCTGCTGACTGTCTTCAGGCTGCCATTTGTCTTCCCCACTGGGGACACTGCACTCTCTGCAAGGCGCTGTGAGGTGGAGTGTGAGGAAGGGTGTGAGAGCAAGACCTGTGCTCAGGGTGTTTGCTTTTCATTTTTTGGTGGTGCTGAGGATCAAACCCAGGTCTTCCCACTGAGCTACATCTGTACCCTTTTTTAAATTTTTGAAACAGGTTCTTGCCAAGTCTAGGCTAATTTCTGATCCTTCTGCCTCAGCCTCTCAGAGTGCTAGGATTATAGACATGTACCACCATACCCAGTGAGTGGGTGGTTTTGCTTTTGTCTTTCCTTTTTTTTTTGACACAGAGTCTCCTTAAATTGTTCAGGCTAGTCTTGAACTCACTGTGTAGCCCAGACTGGCCTCAAACTTATGGCAATCCTCCTGCCTCAGCCTCCCGAGTGCTGGGGTGACAGGTGTGTGCCACCATGCCTGTTAGGTGTTTTTGCTTTTTGACCTTCTCAATCAGCTGAGGCTGGGGACAAGTCCAGGATGGCACTGGGGTCCTCTGGGCCCTTTGTCTGGGGTGGGGCTGGGAGCTTCTCTAGACCCAGCTGCCTTCGGGAAAGAGGGGTGCTGCTCCCCTCCTGGTGAGTCTGGAGACCCCCGGGGTGGCAGCAGAGACCGCCGCGGCCTTACCTGGCAGCCACTATGCAGCAGGTACAGGCTTCAGTCGGAACTGTGGGGTGGTACTGGTCCAGCAGATTCTAGTTCCTCCTTGACACAGAGCTGTCCAAGGAGGTGCTGTGGTGCACAGTTCTAATCCCTGCGCTCTGGCAGGGCACTGAGGCAGGGGGATCTCACATTTGAGCTCAGCCCCATCAGCTTAGTGAGGCTCTATCTCCAAATAAATGGGATTGCAGCCCTGGCTTCAGTTCCCAGTGCTGAAAACAAGCAAACCAAAACCAAAACCCAAAACATGACCACACAGCAGGCTTCTACGGACTGGCACCTGGCTCTGCTTATCTCCCTGGGAGCCTCACGACAGACCAGGCCCTGGAAGGAAACAGCTGGAGGAGGAGGAAGGGAAGCAGGGCTACCTGGGACCATCAAGGGACGCAGGCCTTGTCCC